GGATGGTGACGGCGTCTCCTGCGCAGGCGAAGTGAGTGACGAGCTGCTCAAACCCAGATATCCGTCCCAGCAGCTGGGGTGCGACCCCCAGCTCCAGCGCCACGTGGCTGAAGTTCTTCGCACCGTTCAGGGAAGGGTCCAACACGAAGGCAAGTGACTGCACCAGGGAACGAGGCAGCTCTGCTACCGGCAGACCTGGGGCAGCAACACAGCAAAGTGGGGTTAGAAACCAGCCCATCCAGCTGGGATGAGAATCAACAGAGCAGCCAGACCCAAGCCCCCGTCCCTGCCGAGCTGGCGAGATGTCACCCTGACGCTGCAGGTATCTCCTCCAACATCACTTTCAGAGCTCAGGGACACAGAGCTGGCTGAGTCCTGGGGAGGCTGGTAACTCGTGTGACAACTGGGTGTCCACCTGCCACCCACCCGCAGACCATCCGAGGCAGCACCACAGAAAATCTACCCTGGGAACCAGCACCAAAGACCACAAAGGTCCCATCAGTCCCTGTGATTGACACCTCCGAAGCGCGGTGGCCTCCCGGAGGAGCTCCCTTCCAACAACCTGCCACTCTCCACTGCCTCAGGACTTGATGAACAAAGATGAGGCTGGAAAGACTCACCCTTTGCCGAGCTGCTGATCTGAGTCACGAGGCTCTGGGCATCGTCCACCTGGCAAGACAAGACCTAAGGTTGGTGGCAGCCCAGCGAGAACAGCAGCACCCGTCACTGCTCCCCGGGCCATCACAGGGCTCAGAGGAACAGCGCTTCTCCCAGCAGCACCATCCCACGGAGCCAGTGACCTCCTCGGGATGCTCCACGGCCTCCTGGCAAACTGCTTCCAGAGACGGTCACCTGGAGCTGCGCTGTTAGACGCGTTTCTCTGCCAGACTTTTCCTGAGCCTCAGTGACGTTAGTCACCGGGTTCACCGCGAGCTCAGGGCGGGAGGAGGAACCAGCCCCCCGCTGCCGGGTCCGCTGTCCGGAGCGCGGGAGGACAGGAACCACCGGGAGCACACCCGCTGACGACATGCTGATATGCTCAATAAGTTGACTCTGCTTTTTGGAGTGTTTGGAATGGCCCCAGCAGGTGATGTCCCAGTGGCTGATGGCCCGTGAGTGACACACCACCAAACATCTGGCAAACTGGTTTCTGTAAGGACCAGTTGGGCCCCAGTATTAACGCCCCTCAGCCTATGCCCCCACCCC